CACGGAAGCACAGCCAGCCAGCAAGCAATCCTTATATGGACTTGTTTATCTGGTAGCAAGCAGTACTTGGCACTCTGCCAGGTGCCATCTTGGGGAGTGGCTCTCCAAAATATCTAACATTCGTGTCTTAACTTGCCAACCAGGATGTCAATTACCCATGTACATGCCCCTTTCTGTCAAGTAGGATGCCATTTCCCAGGGAGTTCTTGGGGACTTAAATTTTACTGGACCACTACTCAAAATGGAAGCCTCATTCCAAATAGTTTTTTATATTGGTGCAAGTGTCTCTCTTATGTTGGTCCATCCCAGGACAGCTTATACCGTAAAGGCTTATTTACAGGTGCAGGAAGTGCTGCTGGGTGGTTGCTTCTGGTTGAAGCTTGTTGTAGGTAACTATACAAAACAGTTTTTTTTTTTTTTACTTTTATTAAGATTGGTTTTCAAGGGCACAGAACATAACAGATTATGTAATCAATCTTGGCATTAGAAAGTTTCCTAGTAACAGCAGAAACATATGAGAAAGTTTCCTTTAATAGCAGGCTAGCCAAGTAACTGTTACCTAGGTCTTCACATTTTACCTAGGACTTCACATTCCATCTAAGCCTTAACAGGGGGACTTGAAGAAGAGTGAATTCCAGGGCTGTGACCTCATCTTTCCCCTATCTATGATCCAGCTTTTGATAACAGAATTATAGAACCATTTGTTACAGAAATAAACAGAATCAATGTCCATAGACTCCGGGAAGATCCTAATTGGCCTGTTAGTACACAAATGGTTACTGTGTCTACTGACCATAGTTACAAAAAGCCTGGTTTTTGGAGGAGACCTTTGTGGTTGGTATTTCCTGTGCACAAAGACAACTGGCCTGCTCTTGTTTGCAGTGGAAAATTCTGAACCTTAACTATCAAAGACTTTCAGCCAGTGTCTTATTTCATCATGATTTTGAAAGTTTTATGAGTACTGATGTCATTTATTATAGGAGAAGTCAGGAAGAGTGCTTTCTGTTCAGAAGAGTTTGCCTTTAAAGTGACGCTAACCAATGGTTTCCCTCTGTGTTTAGAAGTCATGAGCCTTTACTATTTGTCCTGTGCATATCAGTAACCATCCGTTCAGCCATGACATGTAGTCACACACAGAATCATTTACAGATAGAGCTGGCTCAGAGGGTGACAGCACTGACAGCCACACCTGATGGCCAGAATTTGATCACTAAACTCCATAGAGTGGACAGAGAGAACCAACTCTTATGAGTTCATACATCATAACATGTACACACACACACACACACACACACAAATATTAAATATACAAATGTTCTAGAGTGTTAACAATAAAAAAAAAACTTGATGCCTCAGAATAGAACTATACTGGAGACAGAGTCTTGGTTCATTAGCTAAAATGAAGCTGTTAAGTTATGCCCTAATCTGCCATGACTGATAACATAGAGATTAGGGCACAGATACAGGGGAGGGAGGCACATAGAGAAACAAGAAGATCACTTTGAGATCATGAAGGAGGGCTCAGATGAAATCAGCTTGGAGAACCCTCTGATTGTAGACATTGACTTCCAGAACTCTGAGAATAAATTCCTGTTGTTTCAGCTGCCCGAACTGTGGTACTCTTTATGCAAATCCTAGAAAATTCAATACAGTAAATACTCCACATCTGCTCTGCAGTGCAAATAGGAAGCACAGTGCAAACACAGCAAATATGGCAATTCAATATATACCCAAGTCACAGTGAACAGAAGTGGGGATAGCAGGCACTCCAGTTTTAGAGAAAACATTTTCAGTTCTACATCGCTAAGAATGATGTTAGTCACTGGCTTTTAGACTTTAAAAATGTTTTAACACGTTGATCGAATAATTGATTTATTAATCGTTTGACTGACTAATTGTGTTTTTGTGTGCAAGCATGACACACATGAGTCCCTTAGTGTGTTTGTGGAGGTCAGAGCGCATAGGACAGCGGTAGAAGCCATCCCTCTCCATCACGTGGTTCCTGACGATTGAACTCAGATCACCAGGCTTGGTGGGAGGAGCCTCTTCCCAAAGAGCCATCTCTTAGTCCGCCACTGTCTTCACAGATGGGCTTTCCCCCTGATTTGATAAACACCTCAGCAGGAGTGGTGTGCAATCTTGTCAAGTGCTGCTTTACCTCTGCGTTCACTGAGGTGACCAAGTCCCTTTTGTCTTCCTGTTCACTCCTATTTATATTGTTAGATAATTTTGTTCGTTCATCGTTTCCTGTTTCCGGTTAGTGCTTTCTCTGGGGTTCTGTTAGCACACTGAGCGTGTTTAGGACATTTCTTTTTTAATTTTGTCAATCGTCTCATACGCCTTAGTCTATGAAGCATCGTTTTGACGGGGCCATCTTTCCCTGTTTCTTTGAATTCTTTGAAACAAGCTGTTTCCTTTATGTTCTGTGGGCTCCAATTTGGCAGGAGCAGGTTCGATAATCTCTGTGTTCCTCTTCCCATTGTTGCCACATTGGAGAAGTCTCCCTTTTCTGACCCCGCTACTCCACATATACACTATTGGTTCCCAAGGATGGTGGCTGAAGCTGCCTTCTTGGGCTACAGACTGAAACGGAAGTTCTTTAACAAAATTGGCAACATTCCTTCCCATCCACAGTCCAAGTAAGATGGCTAGATAAACTCTCCAAGTCTGAATTCTCAGAGGATTTTATTTCTGTATTTACAATAATGATCATGGGATTTTCTCTGTGTAAATACTTATGCAGGTATTCAATGCTGTTCTTTAGATGCTGTATCAGGCAGAATGATCTCGGCTGGCTGCATGCAGCCCACAGACACATGAGGCTCTGGGCACTTCTGGTCACGTCACACCTTTGCCAGTACCTGTTAAAGAAAACATCACATCTCACAACTGTTACTTTTCACAGGGCCATTGTGGATTCCTGGAAGCCACAGACACCTTCAGAACTTCATTAAACCTCTGTGTCCCCAAAGCACCATTTGAATCTCCTGCTAAGAGCAACAGCCTTCTCCTGACCTTTCTAACACATCCCCACAGTTTTCACTAGTTACCAGGTTATTGGGTGGTTATAAGCCATCTAAATATTTGCAGTTTATTCACACACTCCCCACCTAAAGCCCCTGGTATCTTGACGAGGGAAGGGGATTATAGGCCGAAACAAACATCACTAATAGGCATTCGAGTGTGTTCTTTATATACTAAGGCTTGAGGCCCTTATATGTGATGAAATTTTTGTGTACTGAAAGTTGAGACTATTTTCATGAATTCTCTATATCTGATTGTAAAATATCAGGACTCAAGATGGAAAATACTGTTTTATTTAGATTTAGTTGCTAAAATCTTCAGTCTAGGCAAAGTATGAAAGGTCAGGAACATGTAGTTAGGTGAAGGAGTGCTTGCCTCAAATTCATAAGGCTCCAAGTTCGATTCCCAGCACTGCAAGATAAATAAATAAATAAATAAATAAATAAATAAATAAATAAATAAATAAATGGAGCACGGTGCAGAATCCTGTGCTCAACCTGGTGTTGAGTAAAATGGCTGTCATCAGAGACAGCTGAGGCGGTTCCACTGAGTCTCAAGTGAGCTGTGAGACCACATGTATACTTCCACCTTGGGACCCTCATATACACTTTTCCTTTGCTTCCTTCTTCAGTGGTCTTAGGGAATGAGTCTGAACCCTATGCTATGAGTGTGTACCCCTGTCTCCAGGAACTCACAGCCAGCTGTCTGCTGCAAAGCCATGTAATGATGAGCGCCTGGGACAATTCTGCTCTGGTCACAGAAGGTCACTTTAAGGAAATCCTTGCTTTTCTTCTTCATTTGTAATGTGTGAATGTCTCACTTGGCATTTGTAGTCCTTGCTCTAAGGCTCTAGACCTGAAAACCCTTGGAGGAGTTAGCCCATCCCATAGACCCAAGTCCTCCATTCCCTGAGCTCTGACAGATGAAGCTCTGTTCTTTCAGTCAGGTGAATGATGTTACAAGCACGTGGACCTTCAGGACAAGGCTGAGCTGCAAGTGTGCCTCCACCCTCAGTGCTTTCCCTGTTGTGTCAGTCATGAATTCTTCCAATATTCATGACATCTCCACACTCTACAGCTTCCTTCTCAGCACAGATATCTCTGGAGAATCTCAGAGCTTCAACTCGTGTCATGCATAACCGTGGACTTTCACATATTACAATTCATTTTTACAACACAGTATAATATAGTCTGTATCGTAATTGATGAAAAATTGAAGTAAGCAGCCACTTAAATTTAAATGGAGGAAGAATGTTACATTTCACTCACCTTGAGGTTCATTCGCCCTGAGAGAATAACTCAAAACAAACGGTTACCAGAATCAGAACAAAGAGAGACATGCCACACCTTCTTTTCTGAGGACAATAACGTGTAATGGGAGCAGATGCAGAGACCCACAGGCAAACATTAGGCAAAGCTCGAGAACCCCATGAAAGTGGCAGAGGAATGATTGTGGGAGCCAGAGGCATGGAGGACACCAGGAGAACATGGCCCTCTGAATCATCTAAGCAGGGCTCATAGAGGCTCACAGAGACTGAGCAGCAATCATGAAGCCTGCGTGGGTCCACGCTAGGCCCTTTGCATATGTGTTATGATTGTTAGCTTGGTGTACTTCTGCGACTCCTAACATTTGGAGTTGGGGTCTCTGACTCTTTTGTCTGCTTATGGGACCCTTTTCCTCCTGCTGGGTTGCCTTGTCCAACCTTGATATGAGGGTTTGTGCCTAGTCTTACTGCATCTTGTTAGCCTGTATTCAGTTGATATCACTGGGAGGCCGGCCTGCTCTTTTCTGAAGCGAAACAAAGGAGCAGTGGATCTGGGGAAGTGGAGAGGAGGGGGAACTGAGAGGAAAGGAAGGAAGAGGTGAAGGTTGTGGTCAGGGTGTTTTGTATGAAAGAAGAATAAAGAAAAAAACCAGACAGTAGTGTGTAGGCTGTGTGCGCAGGACAGACAGCAAGGTCAGTAACCATGGAGAAACCCTCAGAGACAGGAGTCGGTGGGTGTGGGCACAGAGGACTTCCTTTTGCTCATTTCACCTCAAAGACTTTGGTGAACCTGCTCACCAGTTCAGAGTCACACATCCTATGCATAATGGACACAGCAAGGGTCTACCTCAATTTAAAGCCATCCAGGACTCTGGAGACTCGGCGTGCTTCACTCCCGACTCTTCCCCCAGGTCAGTAGCTTTATCTTTCCTTGTAGCATTAGAATATCTTCCAGACTTATGATTTTTCTTACAGTTTTAAGTTATTGCTTTGAAGATGAGCAACTGTCTGTCAGTGTTTGGAGAGAGAACGAAAGTTCATTCATTCCATGTTTAGTCGGTTTAGTCAGTGTGAAACTTGGGCAGCCATTCTTTTGGCTTTAGTCACAGTCCCTAAAGAAAGGATATTTTACATCTACCAGGAAAGAGATGCTTCCTTCTAGCGGGCAGACTCACTATAAAGCATCTTGCCTGGTCCAAACTTCTCTACAGAACACAAACACCACGACTCCTCTCCACGCCATTCTAGCACTGAGCCCTGGAGGAGTTGACAGATGTGACACCATCTGGCAGAAATGTGGAAGACTGATAGGAGGCGAATATGAAGGGTACCATGACTTAGGGATGGATGAAAAGAGACAGACACAGAGGCAGAAAACATGTCTACGGTGGACATAGTATGGTATGAGGTTCTGTGACATAACTGAGTTTCCTTATATAAAACTGCAATGCTTGAAACCTAACCTTTCTATATTGTGTCAAGAATGTGAACCACAACACTTTATGGCTCCTTGTTGGAAACTATTAAAAAAAAAAAACAGTTTTAAAAATAAATCAGGAAAAAGGTCCAAAGAAAAAAGTCACCAAAACTGCATTATAAAGTTTACATAGGGACTGGGAAAAGTAGAGGATTTTGATAACCAGAAGGAGGCTTTGATAGAGCCAGTGATAGGCACAGGCAAGTGTTTGTTTTCCCTGTTTATGGCTACAAACATGGAAGAAGGGACTTACAAAGCTAAAGGTTGGGGTTTTGTTTTCCGACTGAGTCTCGTCAGCACTGCCAGCGTGTGCATAGTTTTAGGGTCATGACCTGGAGCACAGGTGGCCTCTTAGGGACCATATCCTTGAATAAAACTGACTCTCTTCTCCTAGCAGCCATCAGCTGCCAATCAAATCACTCCCAGATGGGGTTGGACATCCATGCTCAATTCCCCCACCATGCTGGGCCTTTGCCTGACCTGAGCTTTCAAAAGTCTTGTGCAGGCTACCACAAATGGTGTCAGTTTACATGTGCAACTGCCCTGCTGTGTCAAGAAGACAGTGTTTCATTGCAGTTGTCCACCATCTCTGGCTCTGCGGTCATTCTGTCCCCTCTTCTGTGATGGTGGTAGAGCCTTGGTTAGAGATGGGATGAGATGCAGAGATCCCATTTAGGGCCTAGTATGTCACAGTCTCATATTCTCTATGTGTTGTGGGTGGTGCACACCTATAATCCCATCACTGGGAGGTGGAGGCAGGAGAATCAGGAACTCAAGGTCATCTTCAGCCAAACAGAGTCCAGGTCAGCCTGGACTAAGGGGCAACCCTACCTCAGAAACAACAGAGCACAATAAAAAGAAATTATGAAAGTACTCTATTTAAAAACATTGACAGCTACAGCCACATTGTATAATATGTGCGCTCTCTCTCTCTCTCTCTCTCTCTCTCTCTCTCTCTCTCTCTCTCTCAGTGTGTGTGTGTGTGTGTGTAGTACTGTACATAGAGTCTGGTACTAGACAGTTTCAGTTCATCTATCCATTGAGGTTTTGGAACTCAGCCAATAAGGAGGGACTAACACAACTGAAATACTGAAATACCATCTGCACTCACAAGATACTTCTCCTTGGATGCTATGCTTTTGATCCAAAATGGGGAAAGTCATTGTAGACAGCAGTGAAGCAGTCCCAATGTTCAGGAATAGAATCATATGTCATTAGCACTGAAAGTCCCAATTACCACAAAACCGAGCATCAAAATGTCTCTTGATGAAAAGAAGATCCTTCTTAGAGATGCTTTGACTCCCTTCCCGAGACAGAGCATACCATTCACTTTTGGACAGCACTCTGCAGCTGTCAACCTGTCTTAACACCTATCAGGTTTGATTCAGTAAATGCTAAATGCTCCTTTGTGCATAATGTGTGCATAAGCGTTATTCTTTCAGTCCTGCTTTATCAAAGCAAACAGTTGAACCCAACAGAGGACTCATCTCATAGAATTCTGCTTTATGATGGTGGAGAAAGTCTCTGCAGCCGACCCTCTACTTGAATTCAGTTGTCTTTGTTAGTCAAACCCACCTTTACCTGTTATTCCAGATGTCCTCAACGAACTTAAATGAGTTACAAGGTTTTTAACTTCACAGATGCCTGTCGGTGCCCACGTTCACACAGGTTGGCTCTGAAACTCAGCTGTGCTGGGCTGATCCTTCTTGTCTTGACCCTGATTGGGATGAGTGTCTTAGGTAAGTGAGGCCAGGACTTGTGCTTCAGATCCTTCCTCTACTTCTGTCATAAATATCAGTGCCTCTTCACATGATTTGGGCCCCTTGAGCCTGGGGGAGAAGGTCAAGGACATGAGTAGCTACAGGACAGTATCCCATACCCAGTGAGGAATTTCATATTGCCTTCATGCATTTAAACTCCTCTGAGACCCATTAGGTGCTATTACACACAAAGGGCTCTGTAACAGACCCAAGGATGGCAAAGATGGCATCAGCAGATTTTGTCCTTTCCCTATTCCCTTGCTAAACCATTACATTTTACAGCTAGCCTACAAGGTCCGTTCCCTTATTTAGCCACTTCCTTATGCCTGATTCATTCCTGAGGCTGATCACTGAGGTCCAGATACCAAAGCATCAAGGTCCAGTTATCAAAATCCATTATTTGGCTACTCTGACTAACATGCCAATCAGGACTTCCCAACTGACCCTAGCACAGACTTCCCCTTTTTCTCCTTAAAAACAAATGCTTGCAAAATCATCTGCTGCTGTCTTGCCTGATCCAAAGGCCACCTGACTTGTAATCCCTCCAAAGTAATAAATGTCCTTTGTGCTGAGAATTTGGTGTGTTCTGAGTGTGTTCTGAGCTGACTCCAAATCTCCAGCCCCCAACACACACACACAACATACATGTACTCAGAACCTAAAAAAAAAGTCATAATTGTGATGAACACATAACAAAGAAAACTAAAAGGCTCAAGTATTTGGTTTATTAAGTGTCTATTAAACTGCACTGGCACTAAGCTGTCTTCCATGAAGGGGTGCGCTAATATTCACTCTGAAGATGAGGATTCAGGCGGTGATTGTGGGTAAGTTAAGAGTCTCTGTAAGGCCATTGGATCATATGTGACTAAACAGAGGTGTGAACCTACGTGTTCTGTGTTTATATATTCTGTCTCCACTTTCCTCCCTCAGGCCAGTTTGCTAATATTTTATTCTCAGTCCAGAAGTTCAGGTTTGTTGAAATAACTTGATTTCCTGGAGTGAGAAATGGAACACACCTGTTCCACCATTCATTTCAGCATTTAATCCTCTGTGTTTTCTCACTTACCAGTTCGAGTCTTAATACAAAAACCATCCATGGAAAAATGCTATGTGTTTATTCAAGAGAACATGAGTAAAACAACAGGTAATTTATGTGCCTTGTATTTTGCAAGAATAATAGCTGATGTTTGCTATTTACCAGGGGTTATAATCAGCCAAGGCTTACAACAGCCATCTCTGAAGACACTATATCACCATATCTTATGTTAGAGGAAACTGCTGAATAGAAACTTGTTGAGGGTCTCATAATTGGTAGTTAATAAAGCTGGAAATATCTTTGAAACTGTGTAACCTTGCAGTCTGAGATCTTAACCACTTGGCCACACTGCCTCAGGATGCTAGCATACTTGATCATTAACTTAAGAAAACGCTGTGTCAAACAGTTAATTTTGTCTAAAGTATATTAGTAGAAAAAATGTATTCCTTGTTATTTATATTTCTTTGATATGTCATAACAATCTTGTTCCTGCACATGTTAATAAAAGTGTGTGTTAGTAAAGCAACTACTGTGTGAAACCAGCTGTGGTGCAGCAAGAAGAGGGTAGAAATACACCATGTTTTCCTCTCGCTTCAGACAGTCCAGCTAAGTTAGAGTGCCCCAAAGACTGGCTTTCACACCGAGACAAGTGCTTTCATCTTTCTCAAGTTTCCAAACATTGGAAGGAAAGTCTAGCTGACTGTGATGGAAAAGGAGCCACTTTGCTGCTCATTCAAGACCAAGAAGAACTGGTAAGTTGTTCAATAAAACAGAGACATTAATTAGCACATTCCTGAAAGGAAAGTGGAGACTACGTTATGGAAGCTCATAGTCTGAGAGACTAATTGGACATGTGGGCCAATAGCTACATGTGTAAGGTTATTATGTCTTTTGGATCATAAATATGGGGCACAGATCTCACAAAGGATTAAGAATCAACTGTGTTGGGGACTCAGGACAGAGACAGGGGACCCTTGAACTAGGTTTCAGGAGGCTGGTAGAATATGAGTCACCAATACCCAGACTCAGAGCAGACTCCTCGGCTCTGTTTTGATTGTAGAGATCCCTACAGGACTCAATAAAGGAAAAAGATTATTCATTTTGGATTGGGTTAAATTACACATCGACAGACAAGAACTGGAAGTGGATAAACGGCTCGACTTTGAATTCCGATGTGTGAGTATAGAGGAGCTAACCTGAATATTCATTTCAGGTCAGAACACTGTAGGGCTCTAACACTGATATATGAACAGTCTGAAAATATGATTCCAAAGGTGAACATTTCCATGTATAAAAAGATACCAGCCTTTTCTAAGGTTGTATATAAGTATACAATGACATTCTAAGGCCGGGGACTAGACTAATTCCTTTGGAAAGAATGTGCTTTTTTTATTTAATTTTTTTTAACTTATTCACTTTAGATCTCACTCACTGCCCCCTCCAGGTCACCCCCTCCCACAATCCTTTCCCCCTCTCCCTTCTTCTCTGAGGGGGGGGCCTGGGTATCCCCCAAATTTTCATTTTAAAAATTTCTTCCTAGCGCTTATAGGCACATAGAACTTTTATCTTTTTCCTCCTTTACACTTTATATATGTTTCAAAGAGTTTCTTAAATGGCAGTGTTCATTCTGTGGTTCAGATGATCCATATTGTGTCATAAGGCTGGTTTCTCAGTCCCAAACAGCAGAGGAAGCCTGAGTGTAGAAGGAGATGGAGCAGGTGTTAGCTTGGAGCTTTGACAGCTGAGAGAAATGATCACAGATCACAGGTTACATTATAGCTGAACTAGTGTTATGAAAGAGACAAGTAGGAGTTGTGACAGAAATAGGCATTAGTCAGTTTTCATTGTGGTAACAAAATTTCACAGATAAACAAGAGTGGGAAATCATCTTGACTCACAGTTCAAGGGGCCTCATTTTCTTCCTGTGTGAGTTGTCATGGTAACCGTGAATGCAATGAGAGAGCTTAACTTCAGAGTTAAGATGTACATTTTAGCAGTGTTCATGATTCTATAACAAGAGCAGAATATTCATTCATTTATAAGCAAAGTATGTAAGATTCAATCAAATTTCTATACGGTGCTTACAGTGGGGTTTTCAGGAGTGATATGGAGGACAGTTTTAATAATCTTACTTGAGTAAACTTAAGCAAGTCACACAAATTGATATGAAAAATGTACTTGTTACTCAGAACACATGAGATTTGAATTTGAAATGCTGAAACACATTTAGGTTTACTGAACATGTAACGACAATGTATAAAGCATAGAGAGTGTTAAGCATACCAAGCTGGTGTGCAGGAGAGAAGTGAAGTGTACAGAGTAAACTCAGCGAATCTGTCACTTTACTCTGAGGACAAGACAACACTGTGAATAGACAGAAGCCATCGGTGAGCCTGGAGGCCGCCATGCTCAGTCAGAAGAGTGTCAGTCAAGCAAGTCCACTCTTGTTTTCACTCTCTGTCCCTGGCTTTCAGGTACAGAGAAGGGAGAAACAGTTTCCTCGACAGGATTATTTTGGGAATTAATAAGGAATGTTAGAGAACTCCTCAGGAGTCTGGAAGGAGAAGGCCTGGGAAGACTTAAAGGAATTTTGAAAGGGAGTCATTGACTTACACAGATCAGCCCTAAGGAAATTATCCTGAGAGCTGCAGAAGATCCTGAAGGTGGAAGAGACAAAAGAGGGGGAAGGATGACTTCAGATTGTCTCTCACCATCAAGGGCTCCATGAAGAACTAAACAAAGGAAGGACACCCATGAGGGATCCCTGCCCACTATCATGTGCCACCTTTTTAAAAGATCCATCAGTGCATTTAGAACACATCTCTCCCTTCCAATCAACTCTGAGACTGTCTGCATCAGAGCTTGAATTTTCATCGTGCTCCCAGCGGCGTGGAGTGATGGGAGCCATGCACATTTGAGACTTACATGCTAATTAAAAACTTGTCAACCTAAGGAATTCGAATGACAGGAATTGTGACTATATATCATGTGAGCTGAGCCTGCTTCCCTCTCTGCATCCAGTTCTGTGATCTAGACCCTGTGAGCTCACTCTGTATATTGAATACATTCATTGAGCACCTACTGTGTGTATCTGTTGTCATGCATTCATGGTTATCTTAATACTTCCCTAAATATTAGCTAGCTAAACCACATACATCTGTGTACATATATGTGAGTGTCTATATTTATATATATGCTTTTCTTATATTAATCTATTTTTAGAGATTTATTCATTTTGTTTTATGTCCCGGTATCCATGGAAGCCAGAAGAAGGTATCAGATCTCTTGGGACTGGAGTTCCAGACACTGTGAGGAACCATGTGGGTGCTGAGAACCGAACTCAGATTCTGTCCAAGAGCATCCAGTGCTCTCAACCACTGAGCCATCTCTCCAGCCCCTGATGCTGTATATTAAACAAAACTGAAGCACAACATTGTGAAGCTTTTCACATGATGTGTTAGAGTGTGAATCGATGAGTGGGATGAGGAAACTAATTATCTCTTTCTGAGCCTCCTCCTTTTCGTGCAAGATTCTTGCTGGAAGGATTCTCTGCCAATGACTAAGCAGCAGTTTTAGAGGTTTCTATCCGCTCTGTCTTCAGTGTTTACAACAGGATGTGGCTGACAGAATAATTATAGAAGATCCTAAACACTAAGGGCAGCTATTCCCTTCCTCCTCAGATTAAAAATCACTGGTGACACTGAAAAGGACAGCTGTGCCACCATATCAAGGGACAAAGTGACTTCCGAGAGCTGTGATTCAGACGACTTTTGGATCTGCCAGAAGGAACTAAAACGTGAAACCAAGTGTAATGACTCCTGACTGTGAATGGCATCTTGATTACTTTACCATCCACATCAGATCTCTGCATCCAGCCTGTCTCTGCTGTCTGCCTCCCACTGCAGCAGTGGCACAATGCACGGACTCTGAAAGCACTGGGACTCTTACAGATGCCCATGGGCAGTTTCTCTATTCTGTAAATGAGACAGAAATATTGATATGCTATTCTATGAGAGAGGTTCTACAAAAAGAAGACCTGAGGGGCACCGGATTCTAATCCTGGAGTCTGTGACCCTCACTGTCTGTGTCTGAGCTCATCTGCAAAACAGCCACAAGAAAACCATTTGCAAAAAGTCATTAAAGTGCTCTTAATGCAGGGACTGGTGCCTCATGTCTGTGTTAACGGCATTGGGAAGGCTGAGCCAGGAGAATCAAGAGTTCAAGGCCAGCCTGGGTGTGTTGGATTGGTCTCCAGTTGGTAGCACTGTTTGGGAAACTTTAGGGAGTGCAGCCTTGCTGGAGGAATGTCACTGGAGGAAGCCTTTGAGAGGAAAAAGCCTCACTGACTTGGAGTTTGCTTTGCTTCATGGTTTTGGTCCAAAGACGTGAGCTCCCGGCTCTCTGCTCCAGGTGCCATACTCTCTGCCTTCTCCCTGCCATTATGGACTTTGACCCTCTGGAACAAAAAGCCAAATTAACCTCTTTCTTCTACAGGTCACCTCGGTCATTGTGTTTGATCACAACAACAGAAAAGTTACTAATAAATCAGGCCACATAGTAAGTTAGTCAGAAACAACAACATTGCTCTGACAGTTAGCTGGAGTGAACATGTCTGCAACTGAGGCAGGCAAGCACAGGGCACAATTTAGTGACTTGGAAAGCTACTTCATTTGAGTTGTGTACACACTTCTCCTTTGGTAATGCCTTTGGCAGTCTAGGTCCCTTTCCTATACATGCTATGCACACACCATCTCTCTAGAGAATGACCTAGCCATCTGTTAGCACCCCAAGACCAGCACACACACCCCAAGACCAGCACACACACCCCAAGACCACCAGATCCATAGAGCTTCACTACCTTAAACCAGGGAAAAAGTCTTTCAGACTCCTATGGACCATCAAACAGTCACAATTTCTAATCAACTGTGTTACTAATTTATATGAGAATGGTGAGAAATGGGTCAGTCTGGTCTAGACTGGTTTGGGGTCCATGCTCAATAAGGCAAACTGTGTCCCAAAGCGAACCTGTTAAGAGAGTCTTCTATTTACCGTCTCATGTCTAGCACAAATGAGCATGTGTATTATGAAAAACAGATGTGTTGTGGGAAGGGCTTAGGTAACCTAAGCTTGTCGGTCAAAATACAGAACCTCCCAAACTAAGCTCCTAGTAACCAAACCTCTTAAAGGAAGCCCCAGACACCATCAGGGCCCTACAGTACTCACTCCCGTGGCTGCAGGATCTCTTTAGAGGATATTCCAATTTGTATCATAGTCTCGAGTTAGATAAACTTTCCCAGTCACTTTGCTACTCCGTGAAAGAGGCACCAAGAAGCGGGCAACACCCCATCCTGCCTCAATGTTGCCAACATGCTTCATTTACATAAATGGTTATTCATAACGGATGTTGCCCTGCTCCAAAATGGGCAGCAGCTGAAACTGTTCCCAAAATGACTATTTTTTCAATAATAAGGCAGAGTATGTAAAGATTTGTCAGCATTTGGGGATAACCCACTGATAGAGCTGGAGCCCAAGTCTGACTACCCCATCAGCCCCGGTCAGGGCCCTTTCTCATACATGTAGGGACACTGGGAAATGAGAGCACGCTGTGCGGTGTGGGTCCTTTGTACTTCCTCCTAAATTCCCAGCATATTACATTGGAAAGCAGATAACCCATAACAGTCTTAGTAAGGGGTTTCTATTGCTGCAAGGAAACATCACAGACAACAAGCAAGTTGGGGAGGAAGGGGTTTATTTGGCTTACACTTCCATATCACTATGTATCACATCGAAGGAAGTCAGGACAGGAACTCAAAAACAGAGCATGAACCTGGAGATAGAAGCTGACACAGATGCTATGGAGGGGTGCTGCTTACTGGCTTGCTTCTCATGGCTTGCTCAGTCTGCTTTCTTATAAAACCCAGGACCATCAGCCCAGGCATAGCACCACCCACAATGGTTGGGCTCTCCCCTGAGCAGTCACTAATTAAGAAAATGCCCTACAGGCTTGCCTACAACCAGATCTAATGGAATCATTTTCTTAATTGAGGGTCTCTCCTCTCAAATGATTTTAGTCTCTGTCAGCTTGACATAAAACTATCCAACAAACACAACTAAACATTCAAGCAGCCACAGTGTGTTATCACAGCTTAGAACAGTGCTAACAGGGGCAGATGATGTAGGTGGGTCTGTTTACACTACTCATCGCCTGGTTAGCACATGTCCAGGCTGCCTTTGAACTAGTTATGTTTTCCTAAATTAGGATCTGTGGCAGTTACCAGCTAAACACAGACAAAAATAACCCAGATGAGTAATAAAAACAAACAAACAAAAAAGCCTCCAAAATGTGTAGTTATTATGATCAGAGCAAAGAAATCTGTAGCAAATGATTCAAAGTCATTGCAAATGTAGTTAACAAAATTATCTAAACTATGAAATTGTAATGGCATTAAATACAAATGCAGCTGTCCTCTGATGCTTATGTCCCTTAACTTTCGCTACATGACAGTCATCTCAGCATCCAGTGGCTTTGCTCTTATGATGAGATTAGCTGGGTGTTTCTGCTGGTCAAGTCTCAGCAGACCCACACATCTATGGAATGCTGCTTGGTTGTCTGAGACCTGGCTGATACAGGCTGGGCTCCACCTCATGTGGGAGGTGAGCTCAGGGACCGCGTGACTGACGCACTCATGGGTCTCCAGTTCTCAGTCGGGTTGTTTATGTGGTCACGGCATAGATGTTCACTCAGAACTCACCCCCCTCACATTCTCTTAGGTAAATCATCAAAGAGCACCCCAGGCTCAAAAACCTGCTGTCTTGTCTTTAGGGAAGGTGGTTCAAAGTCACTTTAAAATCAGATCAGTATGTGTCCACTGGAGCCTGAGAAAACCTACCAATGGCCACATCTAAAAAAAAAAAAAAAAGAATGATTCTCTCTCCCTGGGCATCCATCCACTGTCACTAGCTCCTCTGTAAGGGGTGGGGCTCATCTCCCTACCATGCTGGGGTTTTGGATGGTCTTGTGTAAACAACCCCAGCTTCTGGGAGTCAGTGAATGCAATGACTATGTCATATCTGGAAGACAGCATTTCTCCCATCTGCTAGCTCTCAGATTCTGCCTGCCTCCTCATCTGCGGTGATCTCAGAGCATCAGAAGTGGGGGTTGATACAGGTGTCCCATTTAGGGCTGGTACCCAGTCCCTTATCCTCAGCATCTCAATCAGTTGTGCATCTCTCTGTCACAGGCTGCTCACTGCACAAAGAGCTTCTCTGACCAAGGCTGAGAGCAGCCCAGACCTAGGAGTATAAGAGGCGATCTGATCTAGGGGTATAAGATAGCCACTTAGAAAAATAACAATAGCGGGTTCAGTCAGGACAAAAGAAGAAGGTCCCAGTGTTTTCTAAATTTCTGAATGCTAAATTCCGCAGCTGCAACTTTGAAAGGCCAGTCTATTTCCTCTTCCAAAAACAAATGTGTAACATTTCAATCTTGCCAGTTCAAAGTCTCCACCATCTTTGTGGTCTCTTCATTCTTAATCTGTTACTTATCCAGCCTCCCTGTCAGAAGCTGCCATTGATGACCAGGGCAGGAGACTCAGAAGCAGGAGACATCGTTGGCCCCAAACAGCTGGCTTCTCTGGTAAAAGTAAGAGATCCAGACATTTGATATTTTCATCAAAATTTTGATCTGATACATAAAAATATAAAATCAGGCCTGGGACGCTAGCTCAGTGGTAAACAATGCTAGCTGCTCATCCAAAGGATTTGAATTTGGATGCCAGCATCCATGTAGAGTGGCTCAGTTTTCTGTAACTCTAATTACAGTGGATCTGACACTCTCTCCTGGCCTCTGTGAGCAACACACACACACACACACACACACACAGAGCAAATTTTTTAAAAAGACATAAAAGTGTGCATATTTCTAGGATACTGTGTTTAGATACATGTACACATCGGATAATGTTTGAAACTGGATACACATAGCTAACTTCTCAAACATTTATCATTTCTTTATGATGAAAGCGTTAAATCTTTTTTTAGCTTTTCCCGTCTTTTAAGTACTTTATCATTGTCTATAGTTGCCCTACTGTGCAGTAGCACAGGGGAACTTTATACTCCTGCCCAATGATAACTGAGTTCTCACCAATCCACCTCTTTGCTTTAGAAACAGCTTCTGTTCTGCAAATAGAAACACTGCACAAAAAATTTTCATAGCATCTATAATTGTATATATGGTTTTTTG